TCTATTTAACTTACTCCAAGTATTAATTTTTTACTCCGAACAGATTTGTCAAGTTTTAAGTAACTTTTTTGGTTGTTTGAATAGAGAAAAATATTCTGAAGGAGTAAAAATATATTTGAAAACTACTCCGGGGTAATTTTTTTGATTTTTCAGTACTAACAGTGACGTCATCAACAATATTTTGACAGTTAGTTGAAACGGAGCAGTATTTTCTTTCACTTTAGAGTGAAAAAAGCGTTTATAAGTAAACCTGGAGCAAAAAAGTGCCGAACAGCAAAACTTGATGCGCTCCCAGTTCAGTCAAACGGAGTAAGATTGAAATTAGAGTAAAAAGAGGAGTTTAATTTCTATATTTAAATTATTAAAATCGCCTAATATTGATTCGGAGCACTTTAGAGTAAAAACTAATTACAACGGCTTTACTCGAATAGAATTCTATTTATCGGGTTTTATGATGACGTCACTGGGAATAAACTTCTGTTCAAAAATTGTACACTTTTTAACTCTATTTGTTTTCAAAGTAAACGGAGTAACATTGTTCATTAAGAACCGGTTCCAGATCGTTTCAAAACTTATTTTTAGTGTTCTGACTGCTTCAATTGCTGTTCCGAATTTGGAAAAAAAATTAAACTGAACTACTCTAGAGCACTCTTTTTTGATCGTTATTCAATTAGAACCGATTCCGGACAAAAAAATGGATCTTTTCAAATTTACTGTTCTTTGTTCGCAGTGCAACTAGAATCTAAAAACTTAAAACCTGTTCCGAACTCGTTCGCAATGAACTAGTTCACGATAAAAAAATCCAGTGTTCTGGAACATATATACTCCTTTTTTTGATATCGAGCAAACTTCAGTGTTCTGGTTTTGCCGTTTTCAATAAAAATTAAATTGATGATTTTTGTTGGATCTGCTAGTGACGTCATCATGTAAAATTGCCCTGTAATAAGATTTTGATTAAAAGTGACATAATCGCTGTGTTTTACGGGTGCATTTTGGATTTTGAACGGTTTGTGTTAGGTCTGCAGATGACGTCATCGTACCTTGTAACAAGGATATTTATTGGGCGAATAAACTTCTGACGGTTCCAAGTGCACTGAATCATTTTATTATGTTCATCTGTCCGTACTACCTTGATAAACTTACTCTATCTACTCCAAGGAGTCAAAAATAATGAAACTCCTAACAACTTGCTTACTTGGAGCACTCCAAATAGGGCAAATAGAGTAATTACGTTTATTAGAAATAAATTTAATCCAAACTTGTTTCGAACATAAATAAAACATGCACTAAGCTACTTAAAAAATATCATTCCGAGTCGATTTCAATGACGTCACTTGCTCCGCGGACGAATTGCTCAGTTCCGAAGTGCCCCGTCGGTGCACGAACTTCTTAATCAGAACCCGCACCAACTCCCGATTGAAAACCATATAAATCCAAGGATTGACGCAACTTGTCAAACTGTACAACAATGTCAAAATCGTAAATGTCGATCCTTCCAAAAACGAACTTTCAGGATCGATTGTCGCCCAAAATTGGGCGACAATAAACGGAGCAGAACAACAAATATACAAAACAATTACGACAATTGTTTGTTTAATTGTATTAATTTTTGCTCTGGATATTAGAGGGATTCTGTTCTGAGCAGCATCAGAACACCTCCAGATTTCGGAGCATATTTTGGAGTAGGTGTATATAAGTACTAGTAAAGGAATCAGAAATATTGTCAGACTGTACCTGGAAAAAAAAATCATTGAGTCATTGTTAGTTTCTGAGTCAAAATTACTTACCAAGTGACGTAAGCACGCTCGCCCCAGGACTCGGAAAAGGTGCCCCAACAGTCCCAATCTTTGCTCGGAGTAACTTGTTGGTACGAGAATATGAAAACCTGTATAATAATAATATCGATAGTTTGCAAATATATTATCGATACTATATTTACTTGGGGTAGGCAACACAGCATGCTCATAATCCATGCTCCATACATCATGGCCTTGGATCGTCTTGAAGTCCACGAATAATACGTCAATGGAAAACAAATGGCTTGATATCGATCCAAGGCGGTCGCCATTAAAACGTACGAACTCAAATACGGGCCCAAAGTTTGTCCGTACTATCGAAAAAAAAAAATCGATACTTGAAATCGATAGTTGAAATCGATCCCTTACCTTGACGAGTTTGCACAATACAAATCCGCCCCGAAATCGATACGTCACTTCCCAAATTAGTTGCGGCAGGACACTGAAGAGGGCGACAATGAGATCGGCAATTGACAGGTGAAGGATGAAGAAGTACATCGATGACAGCTTTCTTTTGCCGCGAAATCTAAAAAATTCAATTAATTTCACTCACCCCACATTGCATTTTGGGTTTTAAACGGTTTTTGTTAGGTCTGCAGGTGACGTCATCGTGTAAGGTGGCCTTGTAACAAGTATTTAAAAAGTTTGATTAAAAGTGACAAAATTACGGGTGCATTTTTTAATTTCAAACGGTTTTTGTTCGGTCTGCAAGTGACGTCATCAGGTAAATTCTCCACAAAGATATTTATTTCAAAATTTTAATCAAAAGTGACAAAATTGGCCTGCTACTGTGTTTTGAGGGTGCATTTTTGAAATTGAAACGGTTTTTGTTAGGCCTGCAGGTGACGTCATCATGTAAGGTGGCCTTGTAACAAGTATATTTATTTCAAAAATTTTGATTAAAAGTGACAAAATTACGGGTGCATTTTTTAATGTCAAACGGTTTTTGTTCGGTCTGCAGGTGACGTCATCATGTATACTCTTAACAGAGATATTTATTTCAAAATTTTAATCAAAAGTGACAAAATTGGCTTGTTATTGTATTTTGCGGGTGCATTTTTTAAATTGAAACGGTTTTTGTTAGGTCTGCAGGTGACGTCATCATGTAAGGTGGCCTTATAACAACTATATTTATTTCAAAATTTTGATTAAAAGTGACAAAATTACGGGTGCATTTTTAAATTTCAAACGGTTTTTGTTCGGTCTGCAGGTGACGTCATCATGTAGACTCTTAACAGAGATATTTATTTCAAAATTTTAATCAAAAGTGACTGTTATTGTGTTTTGCGGGTGCATTTTTAAAATTGAAACGGTTTTTGTTAGGTCTGCAGGTGACGTCATCGTGTAAGGTGGCCTTGTAACAAGTATTTAAAAAATTTTGATTAAAAGTGACAAAATTACGGGTGCATTTTTTAATTTCAAACGGTTTTTGTTAGGTCTGCAGGTGACGTCATCATGTATACTCTTAACAAAGATATTTATTTCAAAATTTTAATCAAAAGTGACAAAATTGGCCTGCTATTGTGTTTTGAGGGTGCATTTTTGAAATTGAAACGGTTTTTGTTAGGTCTGCAGGTGACGTCATCATGTAAGGTGGCCTTGTAACAAGTATAGTTATTTCAAAATTTTGATTGGAAGTGACAAAATTACGGGTGCATTTTTTAATTTCAAACGGTTTTTGTTCGGTCTGCAGGTGACGTCATCATGTAGACTCTTAACAGAGATATTTATTTCAAAATTTTAATCAAAAGTGACAAAATTGGCCTGTTATTGTGTTTTGAGGGTGCATTTTTGAAATTGAAACGGTATTTGTTAGGTCTGCAGGTGGCTTTGTAACAAGTATATTTATTTCAAAATTTTGATTAAAAGTGACAAAATTACGGGTGCATTTTCTAATTTCAAACGGTTTTTGTTCGGTCAGCAGGTGACGTCATCATGTATACTCTTAACAAAGATATTTATTTCAAAATTTTAATCAAAAGTGACAAAATTGGCCTGTTATCGTGTTTTGCGGGTGCATTTTTAAAATTGAAACGGTTTTTGTTAGGTCTGCAGGTGACGTCATCATGTAAGGTGGCCTTGTAACAAGTATATTTATTTCAAAATTTTGATTAAAAGTGACAAAATTACGGGTGCATTTTCTAATTTCAAACGGTTTTTGTTCGGTCTGCAGGTGACGTCATCATGTATACTCTTAACAAAGATATTTATTTCAAAATTTTAATCAAAAGTGACAAAATTGGCCTGTTATCGTGTTTTGCGGGTGCATTTTTAAAATTGAAACGGTTTTTGTTAGGTCTGCAGGTGACGTCATCATGTAAGGTGGCTTTGTAACAAGTACAAAACTTTGATTAAAAGTGACAAAATTACGGGTGCATTTTCTAATTTCAAACGGTTTTTGTTCGGTCTGCAGGTGACGTCATCATGTATACTCTTAACAAAAACATTTATTTCAAAATTTCAATCAAAAGTGACAAAATTGGCCTCTCATTGTGTTTTGCGGGTGCATTTTTAAAATTGAAACAGGTTTTGTTAGGTCTGCAGGTGACGTCATCATGTAATTTGGCCTTGTAACAAGTATATTTGACATTGAGTCAATTTTTGGCTCATAACTTCGTTATTTCTGAGCCGATTTAGATGAAACTAGGCTCATTTTGAAGCCCGTTAAATTTTCTACAAACCTGTCATTTTTTTTGTTTGACAGTTAGAAGCTTCAAAATTTGACATTGAAACAGTTTTTGGCTCATAACTCCGTTAATTTTCAACCGATTTTGATGAAATTAGGCTTAAAATGAAGCCCATTAAATTCTCTATAAATTAATATATGTTTACCTTCTTCTTATCCAAAGGGCCAGCAACACTGTGCCGTTTCCCAGAAGTGTCATCACAAAAATGACAGCTAAAGTGGCTATTTCAATACGAGCCAAACTTTCATCTCGATCCTGTGAGGTTGAGTTCATCTGAAACAAAATAATTAAAAAAATTGCAGATTTCTGTATTCATTTATTGAAAATTTGACATTTCATTTATTCATTTTTCCTCTTCTTTTTCTTGGCTGCCCTTCATCAGGGCCATGTTGTGCAGGTAAACGGCAACAGCGCAACCGAAAATAATCAAAATTATACCCAACGGGTGCAGTTTTTTCGGGCCCAATTTCCCTTTGCAAGGCATTTTTTTGTCAAAAAAAAAAAAACTGTCAAAATCAAAATGACATTTCTGCTGGTACTGGTTTATTTCAAAAATTATTTATACAAACTCAATAAAAGGGTGTTAATAGATTTGGCGGGCAAATTCAAATTTCCCGCCAAATTGTCGACTGCCAGGTTGACAGATTTCGCTTCGTTGGACCTACAAAAAAAAAAATTGAAAATTACTCTATTTGACAAGGCTGTCAAATTTTGAAATTAATTAATATGGATTTGTAGAGAATTTAATTGGCTTCAAAATGAGCCTAATTTCATCGAAATCGGCTCAGAAATAAGGAAGTTCTGAGCCAAAAACTGACTCAATGTCATTTTGTTTTTTTTTGGAATTTTCAAATTTTGAAACTTTTAAGCAACGAAACTGTCAAAACTAATTTGACAGCTTCATAAAGCATTCAATTGTCTAAATTTTTAAAAAAAATTCATCGAAATCGGCTCAGAAATAACAAAGTTCTGATCTATTTTCCACTCACTTGTTCCACAAAACCACTACAATTTTACCATCCGGCCTCAGAAAACTCAGAACCTCCAAGTCGCTCAGAACCGACTCAGAACCGATTCTTACTGATCCTGGAACAACAAACTTTGAAAAATGCCCCAAAGCGTAAAACATCGGCTGCTTGTAAAATTCGTCTTTTTCTGAGTCGACGATGATGGGCGAGTCCACTTCGTTTCTGATCCAATTGGGGCCGCCGCTCCGGTTCAGAGCCATGTTCCAGTCGACCCAACCGATGACGTCATGTTTCAAATCCTTGAATCGTAAATTTGATTATTTACCGTGATTTTTGCTCAGAAATTTTACTCACGGTAAAAATGCTGGAGAGGTAAGTTTCGGCTCTGGACCAGCTGCCCAAGTCCACTGCTTCGGTGAGTCCGAAGATGTGAGCGGAACCTGGAAATTTACCGGGTGAGTAAAATGAGTGAAATTGGAAAAAATTCCCGGTAAAAATTGAGTAAAAGTTCTGGTAAATTTACCGGTAGTTTTAGTCATTTTACTCGTTGTTTACCGAGATTTTTACTCAATTTTTACCGGGAATTTTTTTCATTTTCACGGATTTTTTTACCGACAATTTTACTAATTTTTTTACCGAGAGTTTTAGTCATTTTACTCGTTTTTTACCGGGAGTTTTACTCCATTTTTACCGGGAATTTTACTATTTTTTTTACCAGAAATTTTTACCGGGATTTTTACTCAACTTTTCCGGGATTTTTTTTCATTTTCACTAATTTTTTTACCGAAAATTTTACTCATTTTTTTTACCGAGAGTTTTAGTCATTTTACTCGTTTTTTACCCGGAGTTTTATTCCATTTTTACCGGGAATTTTTTTAATTTTCACTAATTTTTTTACCGACAATTTGACTAATTTTTTCACCGGCAGTTTTAGTCATTTTACTCGTTTTTTACCGGGGGTTTTACTCCATTTTTACCGGGAAATTTACTAATTTTTTTACCGGAAATATTTACTCATATTTTTACCGAGACTTTTACTCAATTTTTACCAAGAGTTTTTTTCATTTTCACTCATTTTTTTACCGACAATTTGACTAATTTTTTTACCGGGAGTTTTAGTTATTTTACTCGTTTTTTACCGGGAGTTTTATTTCATTTTTACCGAGAATTTTACTAATTTTTTTGCCGGAAATTTTTATTCTTATTGTTACCAAAAATTTTGCCGGGTGAGTAAAATTGTCGGTAAAAAAAATGAGTGAAAATGAAAAAATTCTCGGTAAAAATTGAGTAAAAGTCCCGGTAAAAATATGAGTAAAAATTTCCGGTAAAAAAATTAGTAACATTCCCGGTAAAAATGGAGTAAAACTCTCGGTAAAAAACGAGTAAAATGACTTAAGCTGCCGGTAAAAAAATCAGTAAAATTGTCGGTAAAAAATGAGTGAAAATGAAAAAAATTCCCGGTAAAAATTGAATAAAAATCCCGGTAAAAATTTCTGGAAAAAGAAATAGTAAAATGCCCGGTAAAAATAGAGTAAAACTCCCGGTAAAAAACGAGTAAAATGACTAACACTCTCGGTAAAAAAAAATGAGTAAAATTGTCGGTAAAAAATGAGTGAAAATTAAAAAAATTCCCGATAAAAATTGAATAAAGATCCCGGTAAAAATTTCCGGTAAAAAAAATAGTAAAATTCCCGGTAAAAATGGAGTAAAACTCCCGGTAAAAAACGAGTAAAATGACTAAAACTGCCGGTAAAACAATGAGTCAAATTGTCGGTAAAAAATAAGTGAAAATGAAAAAAATTCTCATTAAAAATTGAGTAAAAGTCCTGGTAAAAATTTCCGGTAAAAAAAATACTAAAATTCACGGTAAAAATAGAGTAAAATTCCCGGTAAAAAACGAGTAAAATGGAAAAAACTCTCGATAAAAAATGGAGTAAAATTGTCGGTAAAAAATTGAGTGAAAATGATAAAAATTCCCGGTAAAAATTGGGTAAAAGTCCCGGTAAAAATATGAGTAAAAATTTCTGGTAAAAAAATTTGTAAAATTCCATTAAAAATAGAGTAAAACTCCCGGTAAAAAACGAGTAAAATGACTAAAACTGCCGGTATAAAAATGAGTAAAATAGTCGGTAAAAAAATGAAAAAAATTCCCGGTAAAAATTGTGTAACCGGTAAAAATTTCCGGTAAAAAAATGGTAAAATTCCTGGTAAAAATAGAGTAAAACTCCTGGTAAAAAACGAGTAAAATGACTAAAACTCACAGTGAAAAAATGAGTAGAAAAAATGAGTGAAAATGAAAAAAATTTCCGGTAAAAATTGAATAAAAGTCCCATTAAAAATATGAGTAAAAATTTCCGGTGAAAAAATGAGTAAAATTCTCGGTAAAAGTTGAGTAAAACTCTTGTAAAAACGAGTAAAATGGGTAAAAATCCCGGTAAAAAAACCCGAAAACCATTTTTTTACCTGCGCATCCCTCGGTGGCCAATCGGAACAAAGATTTCCCCTCAACTTCAACCAAATCCAGGAAACTTCCAGGCACGAAAAAGTCGGTATAAAAATGAACACCCACCCCGTCGGCGTATTTGACAACCTCCTCATCTGTCAAAACAAGCTGTCAAAAAAAAAATAATAATTTACCGAATTTTACAGTAAAAAAAAATTACCGTCTTTAGAAGCGGTAAAAGCAGCCTTTGGTCATCATGCAGAATAATTTTCAGGTTTTTGAAGGTGGAGTTTCTTATCGCTGGCCCAAGGGCTTCTTTGATCCAATTTTTCTGGTAAAAAAAGTAAAAAAAATTATTTTCTTCACCAAAAATTCCGGTAAAAAAAAATTGGTAAAATTTTTCGGTAAAAAAAAAATTCGGTGAAAAAAAATTTACCGGTAAAAAAAGTAAAAATTCATTTTCGTAACCGAAAATCCCGGTAAAAAAAATGAGTAATTTATTGGTAAAAAAAAATTTACCGGTAAAAAAAGGTTAAAAAATTCATTTTTTTACCGAAATTCCTAGTAAAAAAAGAATTACTAAAATTTTCTGGTAAAAAAAGAAATCCGGTAAAAAAAAATTTACCGGTAAAAAAAGTAAAAAAAAATCATTTTCTTCACCAAAAATCCTGGTAAAAAAATTTTTTCGGTAAAAATAAATTCGGTACAAAAAAATTTACCGGTAAAAAAAGTAAAAATTCATTTCCGTAACCGAAAATCCCGGTAAAAAAAAGGGTAATTTTTTGGTAAAAAAAAATTTACCGGTAAAAAAAAGTTGAAAAATTAATTTTTTTTACCCAAAATCCTGGTAAAAAAAAAAGAATTACTAAAATTTTCTGGTAAAAAGAGAATTCCGGTTAAAAAAAATTTACCGGTAAAAAAAGTAAAAAATTAATTTTTTTACCAAAAATTCAAGTAAAAAAAAATTAGTAAAATTTTCCGGTAAAAAAAAAATCGGTATAAAAAAATTTACCGGTTGAAAAAGTAAAAAAAGTAAAAATTCGTTTTCGTAACTGAAAATACTGGGAAAAAAAATTTACCGGTAAAAAAAAGTTAAAAATCTTATTTTTTTTACCGAAAATCCTGGTAAAAAAAAGAATTACTAAAATTTTCTAGTAAAAAAAGAAATCCGGTAAAAAAAAATTTACCGGTAAAAAAAGTAAAAAAAATCATTTTCTTCACCAAAAATCCTGGTAAAGAAAAAATTAGTAAAATTTTTCGGTAAAAAAAAATTCGGTACAAAAAAATTTACCGGTAAAAAAAGTAAAAATTCATTTCCGTAATCGAAAATCCCGGTAAAAAAAATGAGTAATTTTTTGGTAAAAAAAAATTTACCGGTAAAAAAAAATTAAAAAATTCATTTTTTTACCGAAAATCCTGGTAAAAAAAAAAATTACTAAAATTTTTTGGTAAAAAAAGAAATCCGGTAAAAAAAATTTACCGGTAAAAAAAGTAAAAAATTAATTTTCTTTATCAAAATTTCAAGTAAAAAAAAATTAGTAAAATTTTCCGGTAAAAAAAAAATTCGGTAAAAAAAATTACCGGTAAAAAAAGTAAAAAAAGTAAAAATTCATTTTCGTAACCGAAAATACTGGGAAAAAAAAATGAGTAATTTTTTGGTAAAAAAAATTTACCGGTAAAAAGAAGTTAGAAAACTCATTTATTTTACCGAAAATCCTGATAAAAAAAAAGAATTACTAAAATTTTCTGGTAAAAAAAGAAATCCGGTAAAAAAAAATTTACTGGTAAAAAAAGTAAAAAATTATTAATTTTCTCTATCGAAAATCCTAGTAAAAAAAAATGAATACAATTTTCCAGTGAAAAAAAAAATCCGGTAAGAGTTATACTACCGGTAAAAAAAGTAAAACATTTATTTTTTTCACCAAAAATCCTGGTAAAAATAAAAATACGGTAAAAAAAAATTTACCGGTAAAAAACGTAAAAAATTAATTTTCTTCACCGAAAATCCCGATAAAAAAAAAAATGAGTAAAATTTTCCATTAAAAAAAAAATCCGGTAAAAAATGTACCGGTAAAAAAAGTAAAAAATTCATTTTCTTTATCGAAAATCCCGGTAAAAAAAAAATCCGGTAAAAAACGAGTAAAAACTCAGTAAAACCTAATTTTCCTCACCATTTCCTCCGAATCAAACCCATTATTCGGCACCGTCGTACCAATCAGCCCGTCAATGGGCTCGTTTTGTGACGTCACGCCCCAAAAAGCCACCCCTTGCTTTTCATACTCTTCAAAAAACTTCAAGTAGTACTTCGCCCACAGCTGGTAGTACTTCGGTACGACTTTACCAAAACCGTTGTACCTTAAAAAAAAAAAAACGATATCGATAGTTGAATTATCAATTATCGATAGTTGATTTATCGATACTCACTTGTCGGTATTTTTCATCCAGACAGGGGCGGACCAAGCGGAAGCGAACAATTTCAAATTTCCCCCTCCTCTTAATTCGAGGGCTCGTTGGATAAGTGGTACCTTGTATTTGAAATCCTCCTCTTGCAAAGCAAACGAGTCCAAACTGTCATCTTGCTTGTCACAATACGAGTACCCTTTTAGAGAAAAATCCGTACCACCGATTGGTACTCGTCCCACACTGTACCCAATCCCAGTACTACCAAAGTAACTTTCCAATAGCAAACTTTGACATTTATTTGATAAGCTGTCAATGTTAATACCAGTTGAGTCGGTAAAGGCCCCTCCAAATCCCAAAATTTTTTGATAGTGGGTCTTGAGACTTACCAGTACTTCATTTGCAAGTGTGACATTTGAAAATTTACCCTGAGTACTTTGAAATCCTAAATTTTCTTTGCTGGATGAATAAAGTTGGTACTCACTATATGTTAAATTTAGGAGTGGTGGTACCGAGTCGCAATGAGTCGCGTTGCACACGCAATAAGGCCCCGACGCGGTGGTACTTTGTAGGCAAGGAATGTCGGCCCTTGTCGAAACAATTAGAAAAAAAGCCAAAAGTTTCATTTTTGACCAGGCAACAGTACGCGGTACTACTTAAAATATGAAGTGATAAGGAATTTTAATTTATATAGTGGTACTTTTGTTATCAATTTAAGTGGGTACTACTTTTATCAAAATTATTTCCTTTGTGTTTTGTTTTTAATCGGATTAACATCCTACATTGTTGTTATCTTTGTCTTATAATGGTGTTTTTTTGCAATAGTATACTACTTTATTGTTGTCTTTGTCTTACTCATATGTGGCAATGTGGCTTTTAGTCGGCCATTTTGCAGTGCCGTGTTTGGGTTTTTGTCCAGATTTTCTTCGGATTTTCCACTTTTCCAGTCGGGAAAACTGGGCTTTAAGTTTTCTTCATTTTCCAACAGTTTTTAAAGCAAAATCCCATTTAAATTGCTGGAAGTTTTGATGTGGCAACACCGCTTGTAGCTAACTTCAAGTGGGCCTTGTCATTTTTCAGTTATGACAGTCGGTCATTTTGCAGTGACGTGTTTACATTTTTGTCCAGTTTTTCCTCGAATTTTCCAATTTTCCAGGGTTGGAAAACCTATTTAAGTAGAAGGCTTTGAGTTTTCTTCATTTTCAGCTAAAAATTTCCACTTTTTTTTTCAGGTTGCAACTTCACTCGGGTTCCAGTCAAGAAGGCCTCTGAATGTTATTTATGAAGCCTGTGCCAGAAATTTCCAGTTTTCCAATGGGGGTAAGTGACAAAAACAAGTTTTCCAAGTATTTTTTAGGGAAATTTATCATTCCTAGGGAATTTTTGCTTAATTTGGGGGCAAAATCCCATTTTATTTTGCTTAAAAGTCAATTTTCCAGAATTTTTCTTGGAGTGATTTTCCACTGGAAAATTTTGAAATTTTCCAATAATGAGCTCTTGACTTTCCTCTTTCTCCTGTAAAAATTTCACAATTGACTCAGAAAAAAAATTATGGAAATTTTTCTGAGTGAATTTTTTATGATTTTTTTTATATGTGGCGTTTGTACATACTAACATTTGAAAAAAATTATTCAGAGATTTTTTTATTTTTTTCTGAGTCCGAATTTTTTTATTGATGACTCAGAAAACAATAATAATTCTGAGTCCGAATTTTTTTATGGATTTTTTTTCGATATGCGGCGTTTGTAGCAACATTTTGAAATTGATGACTCAGAAAAAAAATTATGAAAATTTTTCTGAGTTTGAATTTTTTGTTTTTTTTTTTATATGCGGCGTTTGTACCAACATTTGAAAAAAATGACTCAGAAAAAAAAAATCTGAGTCAGAATTTTTTTATTAATGACTCAGAAAAAAAAATTTGAAAATTTTTCTGAGTTTGAATTTTTTATGATTTTTTTTCGATATGCGACATTTGTAGCAACATTTTGAAATTGATGACTCAGAAAAAAAATTATGGAAATTTTTCTGAGTTTGAATTTTTTATGATTTTTTTTTATATGCGGCGTTTGTACCAACATTTGAAAAAAATGACTCAGAAAAAAAAAATCTGAGTCAGAATTTTTTTATTAATGACTCAGAAAAAAAATATGAAAATTTTTCTGAGTTTGAATTTTTTATGATTTTTTTTTCGATATGCGGCGTTTGTAGCAACATTTTGAAATTGATGTCTCAGAAAAAAAAATTATGAAAATTTTTCTGAGTTTGAATTTTTTTATGATTTTTTTTTTCGATATGCGGCGTTTGTAGCAACATTTTGAAATTGATGACTCAGAAAAAAAAATCATAAAAAATTTTTCTGAGTTTGAATTTTTTATGTTTTTTTTTATATGCGGCGTTTGTACCAACATTTGGAAAAAATGACTCAGGAAAAAAAAAATCTGAATCAGAATTTTTTTATTAATGACTCAGAAAAAAAAATATGAAAATTTTTTAGAGTTTGAATTTTTTATTTTTTTTTTCGATATGCGGCGTTTGTAGCAACATTTTGAAATTGATGTCTCAGAAAAAAAAATTATGAAAATTTTTCTGAGTTTTAATTTTTTTTTTTTTTTTATATGCGGCGTTTGTACCAACACTTGAAGAAAATGACTCAGATTTTTTTTTTCTGAGTCCAAATTTTTCTATGATTTTTTTTTTTCGATATGCGGCGTTTCTAGCAACATTTTGAAATTGATGTCTCAGAAAAAAAAATTATGAAAATTTTTCTGAGTTTTAATTTTTTATGTTTTTTTTTTTATATGCGGCGTTTGTACCAACACTTGAAGAAAATGACTCAGATTTTTTTTTCTGAGTCCAAATTTTTCTATGATTTTTTTTTTTTCGATATGCGGCGTTTCTAGCAACATTTTGAAATTGATGTCTCAGAAAAAAAAATTATGAAAATTTTTCTGAGTTAATTTTTTATGTTTTTTTTTTATATGCGGCGTTTGTACCAACACTTGAACAAAATGACTCAGATTTTTTTTTTCTGAGTCCAAATTTTTCTATGATTTTTTTTTTTTCGATATGCGGCGTTTCTAGCAACATTTTGAAATTGATGTCTCTGAAAAAAAAATTATGAAAATTTTTCTGAGTTTTAATTTTTTATGTTTTTTTTTTATATGCGGCGTTTGTACCAACACTTGAAGAAAATGACTCAGATTTTTTTTTTCTGAGTCCAAATTTTTCTATGATTTTTTTTTTCGATATGCGGCGTTTGTAGCAACATTTTGAAATTGATGACTCAGAAAAAAAATTATGGAAATTTTTCTGAGTTTGAATTTTTTATGTTTTTTTTTATATGCGGCGTTTGTACCAACATTTGGAAAAAATGACTCAGAAAAAAAAAATCTGAGTCAGAATTTTTTTATTAATGACTCAGAAAAAAAAATATGAAAATTTTTCTGAGTTTGAATTTTTCTATGATTTTTTTTTTCGATATGCGGCGTTTCTAGCAACATTTTGAAATTGATGTCTCAGAAAAAAAAATTATGAAAATTTTTCTGAGTTTTAATTTTTTGTTTTTTTTTTTATATGCGGCGTTTGTACCAACACTTGAAGAAAATGACTCAGATTTTTTTTTCTGAGTCCAAATTTTTCTATGATTTTTTTTTTCGATATGCGGCGTTTCTAGCAACATTTTTTTTTTCTGAGTCCGAATTTTTCTATGATTATTTTTTTCGACATGCGGCGTTTGTAGCAACATTTTGAAATTGATGACTCAGAAAAAAAAATTTTGGAAATTTTTCTGAGTTTGAATTTTTTATGTTTTTTTTTTATATGCGGCGTTTGTACCAACATTTGGAAAAAATGACTCAGGAAAAAAAAAATCTGAATCAGAATTTTTTTATTAATGACTCAGAAAAAAAAATATGAAAATTTTTCTGAGTTTGAATTTTTTATTTTTTTTTTCGATATGCGGCGTTTGTAGCAACATTTTGAAATTGATGTCTCAGAAAAAAAAATTATGAAAATTTTTCTGAGTTTTAATTTTTTATGTTTTTTTTTTTATATGCGGCGTTTGTACCAACACTTGAAGAAAATGACTCAGATTTTTTTTTTCTGAGTCCAAATTTTTCTATGATTTTTTTTTTTCGATATGCGGCGTTTCTAGCAACATTTTGAAATTGATGTCTCAGAAAAAAAAATTATGAAAATTTTTCTGAGTTTTAATTTTTTATGTTTTTTTTTTATATGCGGCGTTTGTACCAACACTTGAAGAAAATGACTCAGATTTTTTTTTTCTGAGTCCGAATTTTTCTATGATTATTTTTTTCGATATGCGGCGTTTGTAGCTACATTTTGAAATTAATGACTCAGAAAAAAAATTATGGAAATTTTTTTGAGTTTGAATTTTTTATGTTTTTTTTTTATATGCGGCGTTTGTATCAACATTTGAAAAAAATGACTCAGAAAAAAAAAATCCGAGTCAGAATTTTTTTATTAATGACAGAAAAAAAAAATATGAAAATTTTTCTGAGTTTGAATTTTTTATGTTTTTTTTTTTATATGCGTCGTTTGTACAAACATTTGAAAAAAATGACTCAGAAAAAAAAAATCCGAGTCAGAATTTTTTTATTAATGACTCAGAAAAAAAAAATATGAAAATTTTTCTGAGTTTGAATTTTTTATGATTTTTTTTATATGCGGCGTTTGTACCAACATTTGAAAAAAATGACTCAGAAAAAAAAAAAATCCGAATCAGATTTTTTTTATTAATGACTCAGAAAAAAAAATATGAAAATTTTTCTGAGTTTGAATTTTTCTATGATTTTTTTTTTCGATATGCGGCGTTTGTACCAACATTTGAAAAAAATGACTCAGAAAAAAAAAATCCGAGTCAGCATTTTTTTATTAATGACTCAGAAAAAAAAAATATGAAAATTTTTCTGCCAGTTTTCCAGAAAAAAACTAAAATATGAGTGGGTGAATTTTCTTTAAAATAGTGGTTTTTTTCATTTTTTGAGCCAATCCGAAAATTGAATTTCATCATGTGGCAACACCGCTAACTCAATCGAGTAGGCCTCGAAATGTCATCAGTGTCACTTACGTCAACCTGATTTTTCTCTTTCTCCTGTAAAAATTTCACAATTTTCTTGTTGCCAGTTTTCCAGGAAAAAACTAAAATGTAAGAGGATGAATTTTCCTTGATTTTGCTTAAAAAAGTCAATTTTCCAGAATTTTTCCTGGAGTTATTTTCCATTGGAAAATTTTGAAATTTTCCTATAATGATCTCCTCACTTTCTTCTTTCTTTATTTATTATCGTGTTAAAAATTAAAAGGGGGCGTCAACGGATCAAATTTCAAAATTATTTCAACACACAATTACCATGTAAAATAATGAGGAATTTTTAATTATTTGAAAGGTGTGCATAAGTCAATTATCTACGACGCTGGTTTTTATTTTTTTCAATAGGAAAATTACCAAAAGTCACGATTTTAAACCTAAATTGACCAGAAAACCGGCTTTTAGTTTAATCAATAGGGTCCTACTTTATCGCTGTCTCTTTCTAACACCTAAAAAAACCTCGGTTTGTCTTTGTCGCACGCAAAAATTGAATTCACTGACAATAAAAATATGTGATTAATAATGTATTTTTTAATAGTGGTAACGTAACGTACAACATTTTATCTTAAAAAATTTACCTTATTTTCATTGTGCACAAGTTTTTCACGGTACAATTTTTTATCTGCGACCGCGCGCTCGCTCGGACAAACACTGAACTTTTCATCGGGGAAAAAATTCCTCGCTTGATTGACATTGCGCACGGTTTTTGATTGACAGACCGGTTTCTGTCATTTTTTTTTTTTAAATTTTTTGTCAAAATCATGGCCGATCGCGGGAAGAAACCGGACGATAAGTGCCTGAAAAAATCGAATATTTTGGTGTTCCAACAACCGAGCGGGAAAAAGACGGAGAGGAAACACGGCGCGTGCGAGAAAAAGATGCCGATACGTAAGGATTTATAGGGATTTTTTTTTTTTGACGGCTGTCAAAAGGTTTGAGGTATGTCCAAAAAAAAAATTATCGATTTTTAATGGTTTTTTCTCTGTTCCAACAAGTTTCTAATACGTTCCAAAAAATTTCAATTAATTTAAAAAATCGTTTCAATGCTATTTGAACTCATTGGAACTCAATGGAGTGAGTTTTTTGGAGTGTTTCAACGAGTTCCAAAAAGTGCGTAACGTTCCAATATAATTTAGAAACATTCCAACTTGTTAAAATGCGTTTTTTGGGTTAGTTTTAGACTGTTCCAACGAGTTCCAAAAAATTTATAGCGTTTCAATTACCTTAAAAAATCGTTCCAAAACCTTTTGTACCCATTGAAACTCGTTAGAATTAGTTTTTTAGACTGTTCCAACGAGTTCCAAAAAATTTATAACGTTTCAATTAACTTAAAAAATCGTTCCAAAACCTTTCGAACTCATTGAAACTCGTTAGAATGAGTTTTTTGGGCTGTTTCAACGAGTTCCAAAAAGTTCATGACGTTCCAATATTACTTAAAAACATTCGAACTCGTTAAAATGAGTTTTTTGGGTTAGTTTTAGACTGTTCCAACAAGTTTCAACAAAATTTATAGCGTTTCAACTAACTTAAAAAATCGTTCCAAAACTATTTCAACTCCTTGGAATCAGTTTTTTGGACTGTTTCAACGAGTAACAAAAAGTTCATGACGTTCCAATATTATTTAGAAACGTTCGAACTCGTTAAAATGAATTTTTTAGATTAATTTGGGTTAGTTTTGAACTGTTCCAACGAGTTCCAAAAAAATTATAACATTTCAATTAACTTAAAAAATCGTTCCAAAACTATTTGAACTCATTTAAACTCGTTGGAATCAGCTTTTTGGATTGTTTCAACCAGTTCCAAAAAATTCATGGCGTTCCAATATTATTTAGAAACGTTCGAACTCGTTAAAATGAGATTTTTGGGCTAGTTTGGGTTACTTTTGGACTGTTCCAACAAGTTCCAAAAAATTGTAACATTTCAATTAACTTTAAAAATCGTTCCAAAACTATTTAATCTCATTGGAACTCGTTGGAGTGAGTTTTTTGGACTGTTTCAACAAGTTCCAAAAAGTTCATATTGTTCCAATATTATTTAAAAACGTTCAAATTTGTTGAAATTAGTTTTTTGGGTTATTTCTGGACTGTTCCAACGAATTCCAAAAAATTTATAGTGTTTCAATTATCTTAAAAAATCGTTCCAAAACTATTTTAACTCATTGAAACTCGTTATAATCAATTTTTTGGACTGTTTCAACAAGTTCCAAAAAGTTCATGACGTTCCAATATCATTTAGAAACGTTCGAACTCGTTAAAATGAGTTTTTTAGGTTAATTTGGGTTAGTTTTGGACTGTTCCAACGAGTTCCAAAAAAATTCTAACGTTTCAATTAACTTGAAAAATCGTTCCAAAACTATTTAAACTCATTTAAACTCGTTGGAATCAGCTTTTTTGATTGTTTCAACGAGTTCCAAAAAGTTCATGACGTTCCAATATTATTTAGAAACATTTTAACTCGTCGAAATAAGTATTTTGGGTTAGTTTTAGACTGTTCCAACGAGTTCCAAAAAATTTATAACGTTTCAATTAACTTAAAAAATCGTTCCAAAACCTTTTGAACTCATTGAAACTCGTTATAATCAGTTTTTTGGACTGTTTCAACAAGTTCCAAAAAGTGCATAACGTTCCAATATTATTTAGAAACGTTCGAACTCGTTAAAATGAGTTTTTTGGGTTACTTTGGGTTAGTTTTGGACTATTCCAACGAGTTCCAAAAAATGTATAGCTTTTCAATTACCTTAAAAAATCGTTCCAAAACCTTTTGTACTCATTGAAACTCGTTAGAATTAGTTTTTTGGGCTGTTTCAACGGGTTCCAAAAAGTTCATGAATTATTTAGAAACATTCTAATTCGTTAAAATACATTCTTTAGGTTAATTTGGGTTAGATTTAGACTGTTCCAACGAGTTCCAAAAAATTTATAGCGTTTCAATTAACTTGAAAACTCGTTCCAAAACTATTTGAACTCGTTAAAATCCGTTTTTTGAAGTGTTTCAACGAGTTCCAAAAAGTTCATGACGCTCCAATATTATTTAGAAACGTCGAACTCGTTAAAATGAATTTTTTGGGTTGGTTTGGGTTAGTTTTGAACTGTTCCAACGAGTTCCAAACAATGTATAACGTTTTAATTAATTAAAAAAATCGTTTTGAATTCATTAGAACTCGTTGGAGTGAATTTTTTGGACTGTTTCAACGAGTTCCAAATATTTTGTAACGTTCCAACAAATTCATATACTCATTTCAGTATCATTTAGAAACCTTAGAACTCGTTGATGTTAATTTTTTGGACTGTTTCAACGAGTTTCAAAAAATTTATAAATCTCCAACAAATTCGAAAACTCATTCCAACGCTATTTGAAAACATTAGAACTCGTTGGATTGGGTTTTTTGGACTGTTTCAACGAGTTCCAAAAAGTTTATAACGTTCCAACAAATTTATATACTCATTCCAGTAATATTTGGGAATATTAGAACTAGATAATGTTAATTTTTTAGACTGTTTCAATGAGTTTCAAAATATTTATAAGGTTCCAACGAATTGAAAAACTCATTCCAACGCTATTTGGAAACATTAGTACTCATTGGAATGGGTTTTTTGGACTGTTCCAACGAGTTCCAAAAAGTTTATTACGTTCCAACAAATTCATATACTCATTCCAGTATTATTTGGAAACATTAAAACTCGTTAATGTGAGTTTTTTGGACTGTTTCAACAAGTTCCAAAAAATTTGTAAAGTTTCAACGAATTCGAAAACTCGTGCCAACCCTATTTGGAAACATTAGAACTCGTTGGAGTGTGTTTTTTGGACTGTTTCAACGAGTTTCAAATTTTTTTAAAAGTTCCAACGAATTCAAATACTCGTTCCAGTATTATTTAAAAACATTAGAACTCGTTAATGTGAATTTTTTAGACTGTTTCAATGAGTTTCAAAATATTTATAAAGTTCCAACGAATTGAAAAATCATTCCAATGCTATTTGGAAATATTAGAACTCGTTGGAGTGGGTTTTTTGGACTGTTCCAACGAGTTCCAAAAAGTTTATAACGTTCCAACAAATTCATGTACTCATTCCAGTATTATTTGCAAACATTAGAACTTGCTAATGTGAGTTTTTTGGACTGTTTCAACAAGTTCCAAAAAATTTGTAAAGTTTCAACGAATTCGAAAACTCGTGCCAACCCTATTTGGAAACATTAGAACTCGTTGGAGTGTGTTTTTGGACTGTTTCAACGAGTTTCAAATTTTTTTAAAAGTTCCAACAAATTCAAATACTCGTTCCAGTATTATTTAAAAACATTAGAACTCGTTAATGTGAATTTTTTAGACTGTTTCAATGAGTTTCAAAATATTTATAAAGTTCCAACGAATTGAAAAATTTATAACGTTCCAACAAATTCATGTACTCATTCCAGTATTATTTGCAAACATTAGAACTTGCTAATGTGAGTTTTTTGGACTGTTTCAACAAGTTCCAAAAAATGTATAAAGTTTCAACGAATTCGAAAACTCGTGCCAACCCTATTTGGAAACATTAGAACTCGTTGGAGTGTGTTTTTTGGACTGTTCCAACGAGTTCCAAAAAGTTTATAACGTTCCAATTAATTCATATACTCGTTCCAGTATTATTTGCAATAATGAAAACTCGTTAATGTGAGTTTTTTGGACTGTTCCAACGAGTTCCAAAAAATTTATAACGTTTCAATTAATTCAGAAATTCGTGCCAAAACTATTTGAACTCATTGGAGTAAGTTTTTTCGACTGTTTCAACGAGTTCCAAAACAATTTCAAACAAATCCAAAACCTCGTTCAAACGTTACAAAAGCTTGTTCCAAAATTTTTGAAATTCGTTGAAAAAATTTTTTCGCCGTTCCAACAAGTTGGTACTTAATTCCAACGTGTTTTAAGTTGTTTCCAAAATTGTTGAAACGAAACTTTAAACTGTGCCATGGGGTTTTTGAAACGTTCCAACGAGTTTCTAATCAATCCAACGAGTTTCTAATAAGCTCAATAAGTTCCAACGGGTTTCTACGAATTTTTTGAAACACTCTGGGTACTTTTAGGAACATTCTAAGACATATTAGAGCACTTTAGAATGTTCCAAAATTTTTTGAAATTTTTTGGAACACTCTAGAAATTATTAGATTTAAAACTCGTGATTTTCTAGTGAGATGCACGAATCCCAAAAATTCTAGAAAAATTTCGAATGTTCTGCAAAATCTCTTTGGAACATTCTAGAATTCTAATACATTCCAATCTGTTTCAACGAGTTTCTTATAAGTTTCAACGAGTTTCTAATATGTTCCAATCAGTTTCTAATCCGTTTTTACAAAATTCTAACGAGTTTCTAGTAGTTTCTAATATGTTCCAACGAGTTTCTACTACGCTAAATCGTTGAAGCTTATTAGAAGATCGTTGGAATGTATTAGAAACTCTATGGAACGGATTAGAAACTCATTGGAACGTATTAAAAACTCGTTGAAACCCATCAGAAACATGGAAATAAGTTAGGGGACGTTGATATTTTTCGAATTTAGACAATTTATCGTATTAGAAATCCGTTGGAACTCATTAGAAATTCGTTGGATTGATTAGAAAACTGGTTGAAACGTATTAGAAATTCATTGGAACGTATTAGAAACTCGTTGAAGCTTATAAGAAATTTGTTGGGTTGGTTAAAACGTATTAGAAACTCGTTAGAACGTGTTAGAAACTTGTTAGAACACATTAGAAACTCATTGGAACATATTAGAAACTCGTTGAAACTTATTAGAAATTTGTTGGATTGCTTAGAATATATTAGAAACTTGTTAGAACATGTAAGAAATTTGTTAGAACGTTTTAGAAATCCGTTGAAACGGATTAGAAACTCATTGGAACGCATTAGAAACTTGTTTAAACTCGTTGGATTGATTAGAAACTGGTTGGAACACATTAGAAACTAGTTAGAACGTATTAGAAACTCATTGCAACGTATTAGAAACTCGTTGAAACTTATGAGAAATTTGTTGAATTGATTAGAACGTATTAGAACCTCGTTGGAACGTGTTAGAAACTTGTTGGAACATGTTAGAAACTTGTTGGAACATATTAGAAACTTGTTAGATAATATTAGAAACTCATTGGAGAGTATTAGAAACCCGTTGAAACTCATTTAAAATTTGTTGGAATGATTAGAACGTATTAGAAACTCGTTAAAATGTGTTGGAAACTTGCTAGAACGTATTAGAAACTCGTTGAAACGTGTTAGAAACTTGTTAGAACGTATTAGAAACTTGTTGAAACGTATTAGAAACTTGTTGAAACGTATTAGAAACTCGTTGGAACGTATTAGAAACTCATTGAAACATATTAGAAACTCGTTAGAACGTGTTAGAATCTTGTTAGAACGTATTAGAAACTCATTGAAACGTATTAGAAACTCGTTGGAACGTATTAAAAACTCATTGAAACGTATTAAAAACTCGTTGAAACTTATCAATATAAAAATTAAATTGAATTGGACAAATTTTTGACAGCTGTCAAAATCCGACCTGTCAAATGATAACCTGTCAAAATTCCTTGTAGCTATTTGCATGCCAAAACCGAAACCGATCCACATCTGCACCGGGGCGGAGCTTAGAAAAATGTGCCCACCCCCGGCGTGTCCCCGCCCCCGCGCCAGCCCCTTCGCCTCCCAACTCGGACCAATGAAATTTCTCGGTTTCGGCCTGAAGGCGGCCGTAGCCGCCGCCCTCGTCTACGTCACGTACGACATGGGCGTGTGGGGCGGGTCGGACGACGCGCAGCAATTCTACAGCGACGCGTGCGCCCTCTTCGGCCAGCCGAAACCGAGGCGGAGCGATAAGTGGGACCCGCCCTCGTGCGAAGCCGAAAAGGACCTGTTTCCGAGCGTAAATTCTTAGATTTTTTCTAGGTTATGCGCTTTTTTCGGCTTCTTTTTTCTTAGAAAAGTTGGTCCCGGCGTTAATTTTCTTAGATTTACCTTTTTTTTGTATTTTTTTCTTCTTTTTACATTTTTTTTTTTCGGCTTTTTTTTTTCTTTGAAAAAATAACCCGGCGTTAGTTTTCTTAGAATTTTTTTTTCCGTCGTTAATTTTCTTAGATTTACCATTTTTTAGTTTTTTTTTGTATTTTTTTCTCTTTTTACATTTTTTTTTTCGGCTTTTTTTTTCTTAGAAAATTTTGTCCCGGCGTTAGTTTTCTTGGAATTTTTTTTTCCGGCGTTAATTTTCTTAGATTTACTTTTTTTTTAATTTTTTTTTCTTTTTACATTTTTTTTTAAATTTTTTTTTCTTAGAAAAAATAACCCGACGTTAGTTTTCTTAGAATTTTTTTTCTCGGTGTTAATTTTCTTAGATTTACCTACTTTTGTATTTTTTTTACTTTTTACATTTTTTTTTCGGCTTTTTTTTTTCTTGGAAAAAATAACCCGGCGTTAGTTTACTTAGAATTTTTTTTTCCGGCGTTAATTTTCTTAGATTTTCCTTGTTTTAGTTTTTTTTGTATTTTTTTTCTTTTTACATTTTTTTTTTTCGGCTTTTTTTTTTCTTAGAAAATTTTGTCCCGGCGTTAGTTTTCTTGGAATTTTTTTTTTCTGGCGTTAATTTTCTTAGATTTACCTTTTTTTTGTATTTCTTCTTCTTTTTACATTTTTTTTTTTCGGCTTTTTTTTTTTCTTAGAAAAAATAACCCGGCGTTAGTTTTCTTAGAATTTTTTTTTCCGGCGTTAATTTTCTTAGATTTACCATTTTTGCGTTTTTTTTTGTATTTTTTTCTCTTTTTACATTTTTTTTTTCGGCTTTTTTTTTCTTAGAAAATTTTGTCCCGGCGTTAGTTTTCTTGGAATTTTTTTTTCCGGCGTTAATTTTCTTAGATTTACTTTTTTTTTAATTTTTTTTTCTTTTTACATTTTTTTTTAAATTTTTTTTTCTTAGAAAAAATAACCCGACGTTAGTTTTCTTAGAATTTTTTTTCTCGGTGTTAATTTTCTTAGATTTACCTACTTTTGTATTTTTTTTACTTTTTACATTTTTTTTTCGGCTTTTTTTTTTCTTGGAAAAAATAACCCGGCGTTAGTTTTCTTAGAATTTTTTTTTCCGTCGTTAATTTTCTTAGATTTACCATTTTTTAGTTTTTTTTTGTATTTTTTTCTCTTTTTACATTTTTTTTTTCGGCTTTTTTTTTCCTAGAAAATTTTGTCCCGGCGTTAGTTTTCTTGGAATTTTTTTTTCCGGCGTTAATTTTTTTAGATTTACTTTTTTTTTAATTTTTTTTTCTTTTTACATTTTTTTTTAAATTTTTTTTTCTTAGAAAAAATAACCCGACGTTAGTTTTCTTAGAATTTTTTTTCTCGGTGTTAATTTTCTTAGATTTACCTACTTTTGTATTTTTTTTACTTTTTACATTTTTTTTTCGGCTTTTTTTTTTCTTGGAAAAAATAACCCGGCGTTAGTTTACTTAGAATTTTTTTTTCCGGCGTTAATTTTCTTAGATTTTCCTTGTTTTAGTTTTTTTTGTATTTTTTTTCTTTTTACATTTTTTTTTTTCGGCTTTTTTTTTTCTTAGAAAATTTTGTCCCGGCGTTAGTTTTCTTGGAATTTTTTTTTTCTGGCGTTAATTTTCTTAGATTTACCTTTTTTTTGTATTTCTTCTTCTTTTTACATTTTTTTTTTTCGGCTTTTTTTTTTTCTTAGAAAAAATAACCCGGCGTTAGTTTTCTTAGAATTTTTTTTTCCGGCGTTAATTTTCTTAGATTTACCATTTTTGCGTTTTTTTTTGTATTTTTTTCTCTTTTTACATTTTTTTTTTCGGCTTTTTTTTTCTTAGAAAATTTTGTCCCGGCGTTAGTTTTCTTGGAATTTTTTTTTCCGGCGTTAATTTTCTTAGATTTACTTTTTTTTTAATTTTTTTTTCTTTTTACATTTTTTTTTAAATTTTTTTTTCTTAGAAAAAATAACCCGACGTTAGTTTTCTTAGAATTTTTTTTCTCGGTGTTAATTTTCTTAGATTTACCTACTTTTGTATTTTTTTTACTTTTTACATTTTTTTTTCGGCTTTTTTTTTTCTTGGAAAAAATAACCCGGCGTTAGTTTTCTTAGAATTTTTTTTTCCGTCGTTAATTTTCTTAGATTTACCATTTTTTAGTTTTTTTTTGTATTTTTTTCTCTTTTTACATTTTTTTTTTCGGCTTTTTTTTTCCTAGAAAATTTTGTCCCGGCGTTAGTTTTCTTGGAATTTTTTTTTCCGGCGTTAATTTTTTTAGATTTACTTTTTTTTTAATTTTTTTTTCTTTTTACATTTTTTTTTAAATTTTTTTTTCTTAGAAAAAATAACCCGACGTTAGTTTTCTTAGAATTTTTTTTCTCGGTGTTAATTTTCTTAGATTTACCTACTTTTGTATTTTTTTTACTTTTTACATTTTTTTTTCGGCTTTTTTTTTTCTTGGAAAAAATAACCCGGCGTTAGTTTTCTTAGAATTTTTTTTTCCGGCGTTAATTTTCTTAAATTTACCTTTTTTTGTATTTTTTTTTAACATTTTTTTTTCTTATAAAATTATGTCCCGGCATCACTTTTCTTAGAATTTTTTTTCCCGGCATTTATCTTCTTAGATTTACCTTTTTTTGTATTTTTTTCTTTTTACATTATTTTTTTTCGGCTTCTTATTTTCTTAGAAAATTATGTCCCGGTGTTGGTTTTCTTAGAATTTTTTTTCCCGGCGTTAATTTTCTTAGATTTACCTTTTTTTTTAATTTTTTTTTTCCTTTTATATTTGTTTTTCGGCTTTTTTTTTTCTTAGAAAATTTTGTCCCGGCGTTGGTTTTCTTGGAATTTTTTTTTTTTCCGGCGTTAATTTTCTTAGATTTACCTTTTTTTGTATTTTTTTTTTCTTTTAACATTTTTTTTTCGGTTTTTTTTTTTCTTAGAAAATTTTGTCCCGGCGTTAATTTTCTTAGAATTTTTTTTTTCCGGCGTTTATTTTCTTAGATTTACCTTTTTTTGTATTTTTTTTTTCTTTTCACATTTTTTTTTTCTTAGAAAATTATGTCCCGGCGTTTATTGTCTTGGATTTTTTTTTTTTTTTCAGCTTTTCTTTTCTTAGATTTCGGCGCTATTTTTCTTAGAATTTTTTTAACCCGGCGCAAATTTTCTTAGAATTTTTTTAACCCGGCGCAAATTTTCTTAGAAAATTTTCAACCCGGCGCAAATTTTCTTAGAATTTTTTTTTTCCTCATTTTCGACCATTTTTCTTAGAAACCGAGGCACGGGGCGTTCGACTACTGCGACGACCCGCCGATCAAAGTCGACGACGGCTACTGGAAACTGCAATCGACCTGGAACTGCGCCGTAATGCACGTTTTCCGCGCCCTGGCCGGGTTCCCCGGCAACCTGATGTCTTCAAAACCGATAAATAAATAAAACCACCCGGGAATAAAATTTATTTATTTATTTTTCGAATAAATAATTTCTAGAAAATTATTGTCTTAATAATGTTCACCTGACTCCGGGTGGTCATAGTAGTAGGGATGGGGCCTGTAAATTAAAATAAAAAATAATTAATAAAAAATTTTCGTACGCCCATGCATTATGGATTTGTAATTGACCAATCATTTTGCGCTCCCCACTAAAATGCCAGTATAAGTATAAAAAACCACGCCTACTATGAACAGCAACCAATTACAGCTTAGTATTTGAACCACGCCCACTCACCTTGGCTTCTGATTGGTCGATTTCAGCCATTTTTCTTCGATAAAATCCACTCCGCGTTCGGCCATCATTACAATGGTGGCGTGCGTATTTCCGGAAACCAGAACAGGCATGGCGGACGCGTCCATTATTCTGACATTTGACAGTCCGTGGATTGACAGTTTATTATCAACTACGGCTTCGGGGTCGGATTTCGGGCCCATTTTGCACGAACAGGCCTGGTGGTTCTCGGGGCCCGTGTAGTACTTTACTGCGCACGCCCAAAAGTCGTCAGTGTCGTACCTAACAAGTATCGATATTGGTTTTGAGTGTATCGATAATTGTCGATAGTAATTCTTACCCGTAAACCTTGGCGCAATCGCCGTATTCTTCTTTATCGACCGTCATACCGTAACGTCTCATCACCGTCGTATTGGCCAGACGCTGAATCAGACGGATACCAGCCACTAAGACGTTGACGTCTGCTGGTTCTGTCAAATAGTTGGCAACCATTTCCGGTGCCGCAAACGAATCAGACGTTTTCAACCCGACGCGCCCTCTACTTTTCGGTTGTAGCACCACTGGTGAAAAAGTGAACATCTTACGCGCATGCGGGTCTTGAGTTTCGTTAACGGCTGCGCAATTTGCCGAGTATCCGCCAAAAAATATTTGCAAATCCGGGTCCAGGCCTGATTTATCGGCATAGGGCGAATTAACACGTGCAGTTACCTGTAATTTATATACAAATGTCGGTAAATTATATTACAGATTTCTTTTTAGGCTTACTTGTGACAATCCGGTTGAGCTCATTGGGCCATTTTGATATAAAATATAATCGAGTGCGGTTGCCCAATTTAGGTCATTGGTTGCCTTAATGTTGCCCAATTCGTAGCCCAAATAAAACGCTACATGGTTTTGCAGGTTTCGCCCGACGCCTGGTAACTCGTGCGTCTGCGCAATGTTGTGTTTGCGCAGCTCGGCTTGTGCGCCGACGCCCGAAAGTAGCAAAAGTTGGGGCGTGTTCAGTGCGCCTGCGGCCAAAATCACTTCTTTGCGCACGCGCACTGTAAAGGTGCGATTTTTGTAGACGAATTGGATTGCGCTTGCGCGTTTTTGGTTGAAAAGGATTTTGGTTGCGGTTGAGTTGAGCATCACGTGAAAATTGGGGTTCAGGCGTTGGGGTCTCAGGTAGGCCTTGGCGCTGCTCAGTCTGACTCCGTTTCTGAAATAATCAGTCATTTGTCAATGTCATTTTCGAAATGTCAAAAATTTCCTTTGTGTAGCGCCACCTATGAAAAGTGTCTCAGACTAAAAACTACATAAATCGATTTTAAATCAATTTTCCAAGGAAATGCTTTAATTCACAGGCATTTTCCATCTATTTTGACAGGAAAATGTCGATTTCAATCATGGAAAACCAGGAAAATTTCAAAAAAATAAAAATTTCTTCTGTAGATGGTGGCGCCATCTATCAAAAGTGTCTCAAACTAAAAACAACATAAATCGATTTTAAATCAATTTTCCAAGGAAATGCTTCAATTCACAGGCATTTTCTATCAATTTTGACAGGAAAATGTCGATTTCAATCATGGAAAACCAGGAAAATTTCAAAAAAAAATTAAAAATTTCCTCTGTAGACGGTGGCGCCATCTATGAAAAGTGTCTCAAACTAAAAACAACATAATTTGGTGGCGCCATCTATGAGAAACGTCACAAACTAAATTCCAAAAAATGGCGTGTTTTGCAGATTTCTCCACTAAATATTCAAATTTAAGGCGGGAAAACCTCAAAACTTACCTCGTATTTGATTGGGCAATCGCAAACCCGGTGACCTGACGACCATTCAAATCGTCCGAAACGTTTTGTCCAATCTCCTTAGCCGCCTTCAAAATGTCAAAAGCCATTTGCGGTTGGTACCGGAACCTTTCCGTAGTCAAAGGCCCCCCGGTACCGTGGTACTCTTTTTCAACCAAAGTACCAACTTCCGTGTTGTCCTCGAATCTTTTAAAAATTGGTAGTACGTCTTGGTAGTTCCAGCCAGGGTTGCCAGCGTTTGCCCAGCGTTGGTAGTCCCTGGGAGTACCGCGGGTGTACATCATTCCGTTGATGGTACTGCAGCCCCCTAGGACTTTGCCCCTGGGCCAGGTACATCTTTTTTCCGGGTACCCTTGGCACCCCACTGGTTCGGGTTCGGTTTGGTAGTTCCAGTCCATATAGGGGTCACCCCAGTAGTTGACTACCATGGCTGGTACCTACAATACAAATTTATTTAAATCGTCATTGGTTCATTGATCTTTCGGCCTCCGTTATGATGATGGGTTTTTTTTTCTGGGTCAAAAGGTGCTTTCTTTGGACTGGTTATCGGGTACCACAGTACGGTACCATTTATGGGTTTTTTAATATTGACCTCAATTTGAATAGGAATTTTTTGTGAAGCGATTCTTGATTGAAATTTTAATTTTTACTTAAATGACATTTGACAGGTGTCAATTTTTTTTACAATCTTCAGCTGTCAAATTTAATTTTGACAGCTGGTACGGAAGTTGAGATTTTTTTTGTAACAAATTTTTTTATTAAATCTTGTCTAACTGTTATAATAATGACATTTGACAGGTGCTAGTTTTTTTTATAATCTTCAACTGTCAAATTAAATTTTGACAGCTGGTACAAAATTTGAATTTTTTTTGTTACAAACATTTTAATTAAATCGTATTCAACTGTCAAAATGGTGGCATTTGACAGATGTTATTTTTTTTACAATCTTCAGCTGCCAAAAATCGTATTCAACTGTCAAAATAATGACATTTGACAGGTGTTAATTTTTTTACAATCCCCAACTGTCAAATTAAATTTTGACAGCTGCTACAGAAGCTTAAATTTTTTTGTTGGAAAAATTTTAATTAAACGTATTCAACTGTCAAAATCCTGACATTTGACATGTGTCAATTTTTTTCACAATCCAATAATTGTTAAACCAAGTTTTAACAGCTGATACAGAACTAACGATTTTTCTGTCACAAAAATTCCAATTAAATTGTAGTTAACTGTCAAAATAATGACATTTAACGAGTGTCAATTTTTTTTACAATCCTCAACTGTCAAATTGAATTTTGACAGCTGGTACAGAAGTTAAGATTTTTTTGTTACAAAAATTTCAATTAAATCATATTCAACTGCCAAAATAATGACATTTGACAGGTGTTAATTTTTTTTACAATCTTCAACTGTCAAATTAAATTTTGACAGCTTCTATAGAAATTCAGATTTTTTTGTTAGAAAAATTTTAATTAAATCGTATTCAATTTTCAAACATTTGACAGGTGTTAATTTTTTTTTACAATCTTCAGCTGTCAAATTGAATTTTGACAGCTGCTATAGAAATTAAGATTTTTTTGTTAGAAAAATTTTATTTAAATCGTATTCAACTGTCAAAATAATGACATTTGACAGGTGTTAATTTTTTTTACAATCTTCATCTGTCAAATTGAATTTTGACAGCTTCTATAGAAATTCAGATTTTTTTGTTAGAAAAATTTTAATTAAATCGTATTCAATTTTCAAAATAATGACATTTGACAGGTGTTAATTTTTCTCACAATCTTCAGCTGTCAAATTGAATTTTGACAGCTAGTACAGAAGTTGAAATTTTTTTGTTAGAAAAATTTTAAATAAATCGTATTCAACTGTCAAAATAATGGCATTTGATGGGTGTTAATTTTTCTTACAATCTTCAGCTGTCAAATTGAATTTTGACAGCTGCTATAGAAATTAAGATTTTTTTGTTAGAAAAATTTTATTTAAATCGTATTCAACTGTCAAAATAATGACATTTGACAGGTGTTAATTTTTTTTACAATCTTCATCTGTCAAATTGAATTTTGACAGCTTCTATAGAAATTCAGATTTTTTTGTTAGAAAAATTTTAATTAAATCGTATTCAATTTTCAAAATAATGACATTTGACAGGTGTTAATTTTTCTCACAATCTTCAGCTGTCAAATTGAATTTTGACAGCTAGTATAGAAATTGAGATTTTTTTGTTAGAAAAATTTTAAATAAATCGTATTCAACTGTCAAAATAATGGCATTTGATGGGTGTTAATTTTTCTTACAATCTTCAGCTGTCAAATTGAATTTTGACAGCTTCTATAGAAATTCAGATTTTTTTGTTACAAAAATTTTAATTAAATCGTATTCAACTGTCAAAATAATAACATTTGACAGGTGTTAATTTTTTTACGTAAAGATTTTTTTGTTACAAAAATTTTATTTAAATCGTATTCAACTGTCAAAATAGTGACATTTGACAGGTGTTAATTTTTTTACAATCTTCAGCTGTCAAATTGAATTTTGACAGCTAATACAGAAGTTCAAATTTTTTTTGTTACAAACATTTTAATTAAATCATATTCAACTGTCTAAATAATCGCATTTGACAGGTGTCATTTTTTTTAACAATCTTCATCTGTTAAATTGAATTTTGACAGCTTCTATAGAAATTCAGATTTTTTTGTTAGAAAAATTTTAATTAAATCGTATTCAATTTTCAAAATAATGACATTTGACAGGTGTTAATTTTTTTTACAATCTTCATCTGTCAAATTGAATTTTGACAGCTTCTATAGAAATTCAGATTTTTTTGTTAGAAAAATTTTAATTAAATCGTATTCAATTGTCAAAATAATGACATTTGACAGGTGTTAATTTTTTTTACAATCTTCAGCTGTCAAATTGAATTTTGACAGCTGGTACAGAAGTTGAGATTTTTTTGTTAGAAAAATTTTAATTGAATCGTATTCAACTGCCAAAATAATGACATTTGACAGGTGTTAATTTTTTTACAATCTTCAGCTGTCAAATTGAATTCTGACAGCTGGTACAGAAGTTAAGATTTTTTTGTTACAAAAATTTTATTTAAATCGTATTCAACTGTCAAAATAGTGACATTTGACAGGTGTTAATTTTTTTACAATCTTCAGCTGTCAAATTGAATTTTGACAGCTGGTAAAGAAATTAAGATTTTTTTGTTACAAAAATTTTATTTAAATCGTATTCAACTGTCAAAATAGTGACATTTGACAGGTGTTAATTTTTTTACAATCTTCAGCTGTCAAATTGAATTTTGACAGCTATTACAGAAGTTCAAATTTTTTTTGTTACAAACATTTTAATTAAATCATATTCAACTGTCAAAATAATCGCATTTGACAGGTGTCATTTTTTTTAACAATCTTCATCTGTTAAATTGAATTTTGACAGCTGGTACAGAAGTTGAGATTTTTTTGTTAGAAAAATTTTAATTGAATCGTATTCAACTGCCAAAATAATGACATTTGACAGGTGTTAATTTTTTTACAATCTTCAGCTGTCAAATTGAATTTTGACAGCTGGTACAGAAGTTGAGATTTTTTTGATGGGAAAATTTTAATTAAATCGTATTCAACTGTCAAAATAATGACATTTGACAGGTGTCAATTTTTTTTACAATCTCCAACTGTCAAATTAAACTTTGACAGCTGATATAGAAGTTACGATTTTTCTGTTACAAAAATTCCAATTAAATTATAGCTAATTGTCAAAATAATGATATTTGACAGGTGTCATTTTTTTTTACAATTTCCAACTGTCAAACTAAATTTTGGCAGCTGATACAAAAGTTACAATTTTTCTGTTACAAAAACACCAATTTGAATGGATATTAAAATGAAATGGTATTAAACTGTCAAAATAATGACATTTGGCAGGTGTCAAATTTAAACTATTAAACTAAATTTTGACACCTAATACAGAAGTAGAGATTTTTCTATTATCTTAGGTCATATTTAACTGTCAAAATAATGACATTTGACAGATGTCAATTTTTCAACTGACAAATTTAAAAAAAAAAAAAACGAAAAGTTTAAAATAAAACTTTGCTAGATGGTCAATGGACCTGAAATGACGTCATTAACGATTCAGATATCAATCACAAACAACAGTGTTGCCAACAACTTTAAGAAAACACTTCAAGTGGTAAGTAGGTTTTGTTTTTTTTTTTTTTGACACAAAATGACGTCAGCAACGGTTCAGAAATAAATCATAAACAACAATGTTACTAACAATTATAAAGAAGTTTAAATGATAAGTAGGTTTTGTTTACACAAAATGACGTCATCAACGGTTCAGAAATCAATCAAAAACAACAGTGTTGCCAATTTAAAAAAATACTTGATGTGATAAGTAGGCCTTGGATTTTTTTTTTTACACAAAATGACGTCACGTCATCAACGGTTCAGAAATCAATCATAAATAGCAGTGTTGCCAACAATTATAAAAAAATACTTCAAATGATAGGTAAGTTTTTTTTTGACACAAAATGACGTCATTACCGGTTCAGAAATCAATCATAAACAACAGTGTTGCCAATTTAAAAAAATACTTGATGTGATAAGTAAGCCTTGGATTTTTTTTTGACACAAAATGACGTCATCAACGGTTCAGAAATCAGTCATTAACGGTGTTGCCAATTTAAAAAATACTTGATGTGATAAGTAGGCCTTGGATTTTTTTTTGACACAAAATGACGTCATCAACGGTTCAGAAATCAATCATAAACAACAGTGTTGCTAACAACTTAAAAAAAATACTTCAAGTGATAAGGTTTTTTTTGACACAAAATGACGTCAACAACGGTTCAGAAATAAATCATAAACAACAATGTTACTAACAATTATAAAGAATTTTAAATGATAAGTAGGTTTTGTTTACACAAAATGACGTCATCAACGGTTCAGAAATCAATCAAAAACAACAGTGTTGCCAATTAAAAAAAATACTTGATGTGATAAGTAGGCCTTGGTTTTTTTTTTGACACAAAATGACGTCATCAACGGTTCATAAATCAATCATAAACAACAGTGTTGCCAACAACTATGAAAAAATACTTCAAGTGATAAGTTTTTTTTTGACACAAAATGACGTCATCAACGGTTCAGAAATCAATCATAAACAACAGTGTTGCTAACAACTTTAAGAAAATACTTCAAGTGATAAGGTTTTTTTTGACACAAAATGACGTCATCGACGGTTCAAAAAAACACTTTTACCTGCGATCCTGGCGGTTCGTCTCCTCCCGCCTCCACCAGCAAAACCTTCCACCCCCGAATCCTTGCCAACCGTCCGGCAGCAGTGGCGCCCCCACTGCCGCCCCCGACAACCACAAAATCGTACTCGACGTCCGGGGACGTCTTCGGAACGACGCGTCCGCAAGCGTCGGAAATTTCGTTCCGACGTCCAATGAACGCGTCCAAAAGGCCCATGAAAATCAAAAAATTCCCGCCCCCGCAGGTGGCGGTCAGCGGCGGACCCAAATAATCGTGCGCGCACTCTGGATTCATTTTTAAGACTGAGAATTTTTCACCGTTTAGCGGGTTTTATGGGATGTTTTATAGAAAACCAGTGACGTGCGTGGGTAATTAATTTTTATCTCGGCCATTAAGCGAGAAAAAAACCTGAGATTTTCACGTTTTAAAAACAATTAAAAAAACAATAATCGAAATTATTGGTAATTAATAAACGAAGGTTGAAAATTGTATGTAATTTTTTGCGGTTAATTTCAGTCCCATGATGACGTAATTGGGCTTAAAATGAAGCTGATGATTTTTCTACAAACTACTAATTTGGTTTTTCAGTGTAGCTTCGATAGCTTTGAAGCTACGAAGCTGTTTAAGCAAGTTTGTGATTACAGGGATCTGTAATTTGCTATTTTTTGCCGCTAGTTGATAGATGGCGCCATTTGTTTAATTTACAAGAAAATTTTCATAACAGTTTTGGCTGCTTGTTGATAGATGGCGCTGACAGCTTTGTCTATTAAATCTCACTTTTTTATTAATAATTAATTAATTTTGATAAATTTTCTAATTACTAATCGTTTAAAATACCTATAATTCCCTATATTTTATAAATAAACTCCAATTATCACAAAATTCAATAATAGAATATTACAGATTCCTGTAATTTTCATTTAAAACGCAAAAATCCATATTTGTTTGTTTTTTTCAAGCAAATCAATCAATAATTGTTTAAATTTATCGAAAACGTAAATTTTTTAATCAAAATCACATTAATAGCAATAAAAAAATAGAATAATCACCAATACAGAAATCTGTAATTTGGCAACTATGGCCGCTCGTTGATAGATGGCGCTGGCACATTTTGACATCAAAATGGTTTCCTAACCTCAATTATTTGTATACATTAATTATTAATTGAATTAATTGAAAAATGGACTTAAAACAATTAATTTTGGACACTGATTGTCCACTAGTAATTAAAAACCGTTCAAAATGCAATTTATTGTCCTGGACAATCGAGGACTGGACAAAAGCAGTGGGACAAGATTTGTTGGAAATTCGGTGCGGCAAAACCAGTTTTACTGAGGTAATTTTGATTAAATAACTGATTAATTAACTGATTGATTTAATTAAACAAAGGAGCCCCAGTGGGACAAAACATGTACCATCAAAAAAGTCCAATTTAAGGATTTCTTTGAGGAAAAACCTGGGGAATTTTGGTATTTTGACTACAAACATCTTTGCCAGTGGTTCAAAGACAAAGAGGATTTAAGGCAGGTATACACTATTCCAAAGAATATTATAGACTAACGTCTCTAGAAGTCTTGTCCGTAATCACTTTTCCGCAATTCTAAATCCACTTTTTCACGATTGTAACTTTTCTGTAAATATAATCTCATTTTTTGTAAGTGTCATTTTTTTTGACAGGTCCAATAATATGATTTTTTTTTTTCAAATGTCATTTTTTGACAGGTCCAAAGTTATAAATTTATTTTTTTTTTCAAACGTCATTTTTTGACAGATCTAATCCTATAAAAAAAATTTTTTTTTTCAAATTACAGGTCTAATGACACCTATAAATTATTACATATTATTTTTTTTTCAAGTGTCATTTTTTTTTGACAGGTCCAATAATATGAAATTTTTTTTTTTTTTTTTTCAAACGTAATTTTTTGACAGGTCCAAACTTATAAAAAAAAATATATTTTTTTTTCAAACGTCATTTTTTGACAGGTCCAATCCTATAATTTTTTTTTTTTAAATGTATTTTTTTTTTGACAAGTCCAATGACACTTATAAATATATATATTTTTTTTTTTCAAGTGTCATTTTTTTTTGACAGGTCCAATAATATGAATTTTTTTTTTTTTTTTTTTCAAATGTCATTTTTTGACAGGTCCAAACTTATAAAAAAAAAATCATTTTCAAACATAATTTTTTGACAGGTCCAAACTTATAAAAAAAAATATATTTTTTTTTCAAACGTCATTTTTTGACAGGTTCAATCCTATAATTTTTTTTTTTTAAATGTATTTTTTTTTTGACAAGTCCAATGACACTTATAAATATATAATATATATTTTTTTCAAGTGTCATTTTTTTTTGACAGGTCCAAGCTTATAAAAAAAAAAAATTTTTTTTTTTTCATACGTTATTTTTTGATAGGTCCAATCCTATACAAAATTTTTTTTTTTTCAAACGTCATTTTTTGACAGGTCCAAACTTATTAAAAAAATATATTTTTTTTAAACGTCATTTTTTGACAGGTCCAATCCTATTAAAAAAAAATTTTTTCAAATGAATTTTTTTTTTTTTATAGGTCCAATGACACCTATAAATTTTTTTTTTTCTTTGCAAGTGTCATTTTTTTTTGACAGGTACAATAATATGATTTTTTTCAAATGTCATTTTTTGACAGGTCCAAAGTTATAAAATTTATTTTTTTTTCAAACGTCATATTTTGACAGGTCCAATCCTGTAATTGAAAAAAAAAATTCAAATGCCAATTTTTGACAGGTAAAATCCTATTAAATTTTTTTTTTTTTTTTATGACAGGTCCAATGATTTTTAAAAAAAAAAAATCAAATGTCATTTTTTGACAGGTCCAATTGTATAAAAAATAAAAAATAAAATTTTCCAAATGTCATTTTTTTTTTGACAGGTCCAATAATATGTTTTTTTTTTATTTTTCATAATCATTTTTTGACAGGTCCAAACTTATAAAGAAATTTTTTTTTTTTGAAACGTCATTTTTTGACAGGTCCAGACTTATAAAAAAATAATAATTTTTTTTTTCAAATGTAATTTTTTGACAGGTCTAAACTTATTAAAAAAATATATTTTTTTTTTAAACGTCATTTTTTGACAGGTCCAATCCTATTAAAAAAATTTTTTTTTCAAATGAATTTTTTTTTTTTGATGGGTCCAATGACACCTATAAATTTTTTTTTTCTTTGCAAGGTCATTTTTTTTTGACAGGTACAATAATATGATTTTTTTTTTCAAATGTCATTTTTTGACAGGTCCAAAGTTATAAAAAATTTGTTTTTTCAAACGTCATATTTTGACAGGTCCAATCCTCTAATTAAAAAAAAAAATTCAAATGCCAATTTTTGACAGGTAAAAGAATTTTTTTTTTTTTTGAAACGTCATTTTTTGACAGGTCCAATCCTATAAAAAAAAATATTTTTCAAATAATTTATTTTTTTCAAATGTCATTTTTTGACAGATCCAGACTTATAAAAAAAAAAATTTTTTTTTTCAAACGTAATTTTTTGACAGGTCCAAACTTATAAAAAAATAATAATTTTTTTTCAAATGTCATTTTTTGACAGATCCAAACTTATAAAAAAATAATATTTTTTTTTTCAAATGTAATTTTTTGACAGGTCTAAACTTATTAAAAAAATATATTTCTTTTTTAAACGTCATTTTTTGACAGGTCCAATCTTATTAAAAAAAAATTTTTTTCAAATGAATTTTTTTTTTTGATAGGTCCAATGACACCTATAAATTTTTTTTTTCTTTGCAAGTGTCATTTTTTTTTGACAGGTACAATAATATGATTTTTTTTTTCAAATGTCATTTTTTGACAGGTCCAAAGTTATAAAAAATTTGTTTTTTCAAACGTCATATTTTGACAGGTCCAATCCTCTAATTAAAAAAAAAAATTCAAATGCCAATTTTTGACAGGTAAAATCCTATTAAATTTTTTTTTTTTTTTTTATGACAGGTCCAATGATATTTAAAAAAAAAATCAAATGTCATTTTTTGACAGGTCCCCAATTGTATAAAAAATAAAAAATAAAATTTTCCAAATGTCATTTTTTTTTTGACAGGTCCAATAATATGTTTTTTTTTTATTTTTCATAATCATTTTTTGACAGGTCCAAACTTATAAAGAAATTTTTTTTTTTTTGAAACGTCATTTTTTGACGGGTCTAAACCTATAAAAAAATATATTTTTCAAATAATTTTTTTTTTTTCAAATGTCATTTTTTGACAGATCCAAACTTATAAAAAAATAATAATTTTTTTTTTCAAATGTAATTTTTTGACAGGTCTAAACTTATTAAAAAAATATATTTTTTTTTTAAACGTCAATTTTTGACAGGTCCAATCCTATTAAATTTTTTTTTTTCAAATGAATTTTTTTTTTTTGATAGGTCCAATGACACCTATAAATTTTTTTTTTTCTTTGCAAGTGTCATTTTTTTTTGACAGGTACAATAATATGATTTTTTTTTTCAAATGTCATTTTTTGACAGGTCCAAAGTTATAAAAAAAATTTTTTTTTCAAACGTCATATTTTGACAGGTCCAATCCTGTAATTGAAAAAAAAAATTCAAATGCCAATTTTTGACAGGTAAAATTCTATTAATTTTTTTTTTTTTTTTTATGACAGGTCCAATGATATTTAAAAAAAAAAAATCAAATGTCATTTTTTGACAGGTCCAATTGTATAAAAAATAAAAAATAAAATTTTCCAAATGTCATTTTTTTTTTTGACAGGTCCAATAATATGTTTTTTTTTTTATTTTTCATAATCATTTTTTGACAGGTCCAAACTTATAAAGAATTTTTTTTTTTTTTGAAACGTCATTTTTTGACAGGTCCAATCCTATAAAAAAATTTTTTTTTCAAATAATTTTTTTTTTTTCAAATGTCATTTTTTGACAGATCCAGACTTATAAAAAAAAAAACTTTTTTTTTCAAACGTGATTTTTTGACAGGTCCAAACTTATTGAAAAAAATATATTTTTTTTTAAACGTCATTTTTTGACAGGTCCAATCCTATAAAAAAAAAATTTTTTTTCAAATGTATTTTTTTTTTTGACATATCCAATGACACCTATAAATTTTTTTTTTAAATGTCATTTTTTGACAGGTCCAAACTTCTAAAAGAATTATAATTTTTTTTTCAAATGTCATTTTTTGACAGATCCAAACTTATAAAAAAATAATAATTTTTTTTTCAAATGTAATTTTTTGACAGGTCCAAACTTATTAAAAAAATATATTTTTTTTTAAACGTCATTTTTTGACAGGTCCAATCCTATAATTTTTTTTTTTTCAAATGTATTTTTTTTTTGACAGGTCCAATGACACCTATATTTTTTTTTTTTTTAAGTGTGTCATTTTTCTTTGACATGTCCAACAAATGTCATTTTTTGACAGGTCCAAATCTATAGAATTTTTTTTTTTTTCAAACGTCATTTTTTGACAGGTCCAAACCTATAAAAAAAAAAAAAATTCAAATTACAGGTCCAATGACACCTATAAATTAATTTTTTTTTTTTTTTCAAGTGTCATTTTTTTTTGACAGGTCCAATAATATGAATTTTTTTGTTTTTCTTTTCAAATGTCATTTTTTGACTGGTCCAAACTTATGAAAAAAAAAATATATTTTTTTTCAAACGTCATTTTTTGACAGGTTCAATCTTATAAAAAAAAATATTTTTTTCAAATGTAATTTTTTTTTTTGACAGGTCCAATGATATCTTCAATTTTTTTTTTTTTTCAAGTGTCATCTTTTTTTGACAGGTCCAATAAATGAGAATTTTTTTTTGACAGGTCCAATGATACCTATAAAACAGGTCCCATAATATGAAAAACAATTTTTATATTTTTTTTCAAGTGTCATTTTTTTTGACAGGTCCAATAATATGAAATTAATTTTTTTTTCAAATGTCGTTTTTTGACAGGTCCAAAGTTATAAAAAAAAATTTTTTTTTCAAACGTCAGGTCCAATCCTATAAAAAAAATTTTTTTTTCAAATAATTTTTTTTTTTCAAATGTCATTTTTTGACAGATCCAAACTTATAAAAAAAAAAATATATTTTTTTTCAAACGTAATTTTTTGACAGGTCCAAACTTATTAAAAAAAATATATTTTTTTTTAAACGTCATTTTTTGACAGGTCCAATCCTATAATTTTTTTTTTTTCAAATGTTTTTTTTTTTTTGACAGGTCCATTGACACCTATTTTTTTTTTTTTTTTTTCAAGTGTGTCATTTTTTTTTGACATGTCCAATGATATGATTTTTTGGCAGGTCCAAATTTATAAAAAAAAAAAAAAAATTCAAACGTTATTTTTTGACAGGTCCAAAGTTATAAAAAAAATTTTTTTTTTTTCAAACGTCATTTTTTGACAGGTCCAAACTTAAAAAATAAATTTTTTTTTTCAAATGAATTTTTTTTGACAGGTCCAATGACACCTATAAAATTTTTTTTTTTTTTTCAAGTGTCATTTTTTTTTGACAGGTCCAATAATATGAATATATTTTTTTTTTTTCAAGTGTCATTTTTTTTTGATAGGTCCAATAATACGAATATTTTTTTTTGTGTCAAATTTCATTTTTTTTTTGACAGGTCCTAGAGACGCTAGTCTATAATATTCTTTGACTATACATATTTAAAATCCCTGTGTGTTTACATTACACTGCATTATTTCTAGCAAATTGATTGGTCTGAATTGGGATTTCCCGAGCTAAAAGCCGATGACTCGACTATTTGGATTGGTACCAAAGGGGCCCACACCCCTTGCCACCAAGATACCTACGGTACCAACATGGTACTGCAATTATACGGAAAAAAACTATGGCTTCTATGGCCTCCTGGTACCCCAGACTTAAACCCTACACGTTTCCCCTTTGAAGAATCCAGTATATTTTCAAAATTGAATTTTTTCAGTCCAAATTTCCAACCATCTAATGGTTGTTTTATGACTATTTTGGAACCTGGAGATGTTTTGGTGGTACCCCATAAATGGTGGCACTATGTGGAAAATCTAGAATTCTCTATAAGTGTCAATGCGTGGTTGCCACATTGTCGAGACAATTTTGAAAGAATCAAGGAAAGTGTGGCAACCATTTTGATGAAACAATTCTACAATAGTGACTCATTGATTAGCATCAATGAGGCATTAAATATTATTCAAGCAAGTAAGAGTAAAAAGAGTGAGAAAGAAAATCGGAAAATTATTAAAAATGACAAAGATGCAAATATTGTTTCACTCCAATGGCTAAATGAAACCGAGTTTAATGAGTTTCTAAAAAATCAAAAAAATCGTTTCAAAAAGGAGGAGGAGGTGACATCTACTGGCCAATCAAAAACTAGTTTACATGATTTGCTTGACGCAATTATGAGCGATGACGTATTGGATTTGATTGCTAATAAATTGATTAAAAATTAGTTGTTTTATTGCAGATTCCTGTAAATTGAAAAAAAAATTCTGTGATAGATTTGGTTGTTGTTTGATAGATGGCGCCACTTGAAATAATTATTTTGACTTTTGTTACATTATCCTTGATTTTATTTCAGACACAATGATGACGTCATCATAGATGCTTCGTTTTTTAAAAGAAAAATGAGCCAATGAAGCGACAAGGATTTTTATTGGGTGAGTCGTAGATAATTGCAATTTTTTTTTCAACTTTAATATTCTGATGTGAACGCACCCTAAGCTGGCCAATGTAAATTTGCAATAGATGGCGCTACGTGTTACTTCAATAAAACATTGGAAAATTAAAAAAAGAAAAAACGGTTTTTGAGAAATTGTAAGGGGCTTCTTTTATGACGTAATTGAAGAAAAATTTGAAAATTTCCATTTTGATTTTTCAATAAACTTGTCAAAAAAAAATGACATTTGAAAAAAAAAAAAAAATCATATTATTGGACCTGTCAAAAAAAAATGACACTTGAAAAAAAAAAAATTTTTTTTTTTTTAGGATTGGGATTGCACCTGTCAAAAAATTATACATACTTGAAAAAAAAATATTTTTTTTGTTCATAGGATTAGACTTGTCAAAAAATGACATTTAAAAAAAAAAAAAATTATAGGATGAGACCTGTCAAAAAAAATGACATTAATTTGAAAAAAAATTATAAAAAATTCTTATAAGTACCATTGGAGCTGTCAAAAAAAGTTTTTTGATAGGATTGGACCTGTCAAAAAAAAAATGACATTTGAAAAAAAAAATAAAAATTGTTTTTCATATTATTGGACCTGTCAAAAAAATGACACTTGAAAAAAAAATAAAAATTTCTTATAGGATTGGACCTGTCAAAAAATAATATTTGAAAAAAAAAATATTTTTTTTTCATAGGATTGGACTTGTCAAAAAATGACATTTAAAAAAAAAGAAAAAATTTATAGGATGAGACCTGTCAAAAAAAAATGACATTTGAAAAAAAAAAAAATTTTTTTTCATATCATTGGACCTGTCAAAAAAAAATGACTTGAAAAAAAAAAAAAAAAATCATATTATTGGACCTGTCAAAAAAAAATTTTTTTTTTTTTAGGATTGGGATTGCACCTGTCAAAAAATTATACATACTTGAAAAAAAATATTTTTTTTGTTCATAGGATTGGACTTGTCAAAAAATGATATTTAAAAAAAAAAAAAAAATTATAGGATGAGACCTGTCAAAAAAAAATGACATTAATTTGAAAAAAAATAAAAAAAAATTCTTATAAGTACCATTGGAGCTGTCAAAAAAAAAAATTACATTTGTAAAAAAAAAATTTTTTTGATAGGATTGAACCTGTCAAAAAAAAATGACATTTGAAAAAAAAAAAAAATTGTTTTTCATATTATTGGACCTGTCAAAAAAATGACACTTGAAAAAAAAATTTTTTTCTTATAGGATTGCACCTGTCAAAAAATGATATTTGAAAAAAAAAATTTTTTTCTTATTGGATTGGACTTGTCAAAAAATGACATTTGAAAAAAAAATAATTTTTTTTTTTCATATCAATAAACTTGTCAAAAAAAAATGACATTTGAAAAAAAAAAAAAAATCATATTATCGGACCTGTCAAAAAAAAATGACACTTGATTGGGACACATGATTGGGATTGCACCTGTCAAAAAATTATACATACTTGAAAAAAAATATTTTTTTTGTTCATAGGATTGGACTTATCAAAAAATGACATTTAAAAAAAAAAAAATTTATAGGATGAGACCTGTCAAAAAAAAATGACATTTTTAAAAAAAAAATTTTTTTGATAGTATTAGACCTGTCAAAAAAAAATGACATTTGAAAAAAAAAAAAAAAATTGTTTTTCATATTATTGGACCTGTCAAAAAAATGACACTTGAAAAAAAAAATGTTTTCTCATAAGATTGGACCTGTCAAAAAATGATATTTGAAAAAAAAAATATTTTTTCTTATAGGATTGGACTTGTCAAAAAATGACATTTAAAAAAAAAGAAAAAATTTATAGGATGAGACCTGTCAAAAAAAAATGACATTTGAAAAAAAAAAAAACTTTTTTTTCATATCATTAAACTTGTCAAAAAAAATGACTTAAAAAAAAAAATCATATTATTGGACCTGTCAAAAAAAAATGACACTTAAAAAAAAAAAATTTTTTTTTTTTTGGATTGGGATTGCACCTGTCAAAAAATTATACATACTTGCAAAAAAAATATTTTTTTTGTTCATAGGATTGGACTTGTCAAAAAATGACATTTAAAAAAAAAAAAAATTATAGGATGAGACCTGTCAAAAAAAATGACATTATAAGTACCATTGGAGCTGTCAAAAAAAAATTTTTCTTATAGGATTGGACTTGTCAAAATATGACATTTAAAAAAAAAAAAAAATTTATAGGATGAGCCTGTCAAAAAAAATGACATTAATTTGAAAAAAAAAAAAAAAATTCTTATAAGTACATACCATTGGAGCTGTCAAAAAAAAAATTACATTTGTAAAAAAAAATTTTTTTTATAGGCTTGGACCTGTCAAAAAAAAAATGACATTTGAAAAAAATAAATAAAAATTTTTCATATCATTGGACTTGTCAAAAAAAATGACATTTGAAAAAAAAAAAAAAATCATATTGGACCTGTCAAAAAAAAATGACACTTGAAAAAAAAAAAAAAATTTTTTTATAGGATTGGGATTGCACCTGTCAAAAAATTATACATACTTGAAAAAAAATATATTTTTTTTTCATAGGATTGGACTTGTCAAAAAATGACATTTAAAAAAACAAAAAAAATTTTATAGGATGAGACCTGTCAAAAAAAAAATGACATTAATTTGAAAAAAAATATAAAAAAATTCTTATAAGTACCATTGGAGCTGTCAAAAAAAAATGACATTTGAAAAAAAAAAAAAAAATCATATTGGACCTGTCAAAAAAAAATGACACTTGAAAAAAAAAATAAAAATTGTTTTTCATATTATTGGACCTGTCAAAAAAATGACACTTGAAAAAAAAATTTTTTTTTCTCATAGGATTGGACCTGTCAAAAACTGATATTTGAAAAAAAAAAATATTTTTTCTCATAGGATTGGACTTGTCAAAAAATGACATTAAAAAAAAAAAAAAAATTTATAGGATGAATCTGTCAAAAAAAATGACATTAATTTGAAAAAAAAAAAAAAAAATTCTTATAAGTACCATTGGAGCTGTCAAAAAAAAAATTACATTTGTAAAAAAAAATTTTTTTTATAGGCTTGGACCTGTCAAAAAAAAAATGACATTTGAAAAAAATAAATAAAAATTTTTCATATCATTGGACTTTTCAAAAAAAAATGACATTTGAAAAAAAAAAAAAATCATATTGGACCTGTCAAAAAAAAATGACACTTGAAAAAAAAAAAAAAATTTTTTTATAGGATTGGGATTGCACCTGTCAAAAAATTATACATACTTGAAAAAAAATATATTTTTTTTTCATAGGATTGGACTTGTCAAAAAATGACATTTAAAAAAACAAAAAAAATTTTATAGGATGAGACCTGTCAAAAAAAAAATGACATTAATTTGAAAAAAAATATAAAAAAATTCTTATAAGTACCATTGGAGCTGTCAAAAAAAAATGACATTTGAAAAAAAAAAAAAAAATCATATTGGACCTGTCAAAAAAAAATGACACTTGAAAAAAAAAAAAAAAATTGTTTTTCATATTATTGGACCTGTCAAAAAAATGACACTTGAAAAAAAAAAAATTTTTTCTCATAGGATTGGACCTGTCAAAAACTGATATTTGAAAAAAAAAAATATTTTTTCTTATAGGATTGGACTTGTCAAAAAATGACATTAAAAAAAAAAAAAAAATTTATAGGATGAATCTGTCAAAAAAAATGACATTAATTTGAAAAAAAAAAAAAAAATTCTTATAAGTACCATTGGAGCTGTCAAAAAAAAAATTACATTTGTAAAAAAAAATTTTTTTTATAGGCTTGGACCTGTCAAAAAAAAATTACATTTGAAAAAAATAAATAAAAATTTTTCATATCGTTGGACTTGTCAAAAAAACATGACATTTGAAAAAAAAAAAAAAATCATATTGGACCTGTCAAAAAAAAATGACACTTGAAAAAAAAAAAAAATTTTTTTTATAGGATTGGGATTGCACCTGTCAAAAAATTATACATACTTGAAAAAAAAAATATTTTTTTTTCATAGGATTGGACTTGTCAAAAAATGACATTTAAAAAAACAAAAAAATTTTTATAGAGACCTGTCAAAAAAAAATGACATTAATTTGAAAAAAAATAAAAAAAAATTCTTATAAGTACCATTGGAGCTGTCAAAAAAAAAATTACATTTGTAAAAAAAAAATTTTTTTTATAGGCTTGGACCTGTCAAAAAAAAATGACATTTGAAAAAAATAAATCAAATTTTTTCATATCATTGGACTTGTCAAAAAAAAAATGACATTTGAAAAAAAAAAAAAAAATCATATTGGACCTGTCAAAAAAAAATGACACTTGAAAAAAAAAAAATTTTTTTTATAGGATTGGGATTGCACCTGTCAAAAAATTATACATACTTGAAAAAAAAATATTTTTTTTTTTCATAGGATTGGACTTGTCAAAAAATGACATTTAAAAAAAAAAAAAATTATAGGATGAGACCTGTCAAAAAAAATGAAGAAATTTTTCTTATAGGATTGGACTTGTCAAAATATGACATTTTACAAAAAAAGAAAAAATTTATAGGATGAGACCTGTCAAAAAAAAATGACATTTGAAAAAAAAAAAAAACTTTTTTTTCATATCATTAAACTTGTCAAAAAAAAATGACTTAAAAAAAAAAAATCATATTATTGGACCTGTCAAAAAAAAATGACACTTAAAAAAAAAAAATTTTTTTTTTTTTTGGATTGGGATTGCACCTGTCAAAAAATTATACATACTTGCAAAAAAAATATTTTTTTTGTTCATAGGATTGGACTTGTCAAAAAATGACATTTAAAAAAAAAAAAATTATAGGATGAGACCTGTCAAAAAAAATGACATTATAAGTACCATTGGAGCTGTCAAAAAAAAATTTTTCTTATAGGATTGGACTTGTCAAAATATGACATTTAAAAAAAAAAAAAAATTTATAGGATGAGCCTGTCAAAAAAAATGACATTAATTTGAAAAAAAAAAAAA